ATATTTAAAGGTTTTTAAGGTATACCTACGTATTTAATGTGGAGCATTATAATCTTACAATCTTGTTAGACAATGTCATAGACTATTTAATTTTGTACAAATTTGTCGAATGTTTGATTAAAATCAGACTTATCGTTTGAAAGTTACAAGGCATTGTATAAATAAATTTGCAGTTTGATGGGTGTAATAAGGTGTTGAAACGTTTTGCGTCAAATATGTCGTGTGGGGTATCATTTAAAAGGTCTCGTCGAACCCGATTCAAATATTACAGTGACGGACTTGGAAAATCAATAGGGTGTTTCACAACTCATTGTGCCATTGATAGTGAAGATATATTTATGTATTATATAAGATAACTTTAAAACCATTTGCTTAATATGAATGATGTGTTCGACAAATTTGTTCAGAATTAATCAATCTATAAACGTTTCAAATGGTGCAAAACTCTACAGCAAGTCAGTATACTTTAAAATCGTAATTAGAACGACACAAATAATCTTATACTAGTTTCCATACAAACTCGACGGTTTCAAAGACTTCTTGCATAGAGCTTGTATTGAACTCTTGCTTTGGAATTGGGTATACCTAGTACGTATTTTTATTTCACCGCTTGTAACATCTAAACTATTTGTCTAATATGAATCATGTATTCGGCAAATTTATACAAAATTAAACGATAAACAATGTTGTCTAATATGAAAAATGCCTAGAGCAACTAGGTAGCGCTTTAAAACGCTCTTAAAAACATACAACTTTGCTTCCGCCCTTATTGCAAAGAACTCGCAATGGAAAACGGCGGAAGCAAAGTTGTACGTCTAATAATTAACGATCTGAATAATTATATATATATTTGTATAATATAATAATTAATAACTTTTATTAAATGTCGTATGGGTGTGTACGGTATATTGTGGTATGCATATGGTATGGTATGGTATGTGTATATTGAAATTGTATGTTTGTCACCATCTAGATGTCTCATTTTTCTTTCTATATCTGTCTATCTAACTATCTAACTAACTATACATTTAATTTATATATTACATATAATTTTTATATATATATATATATATATATATAAAACGTATATAAAGTGCACTGTTATGTTTGTTTGTGTGCGTGGCCACATACACCTTGCTTTTACTTGTGTATTTTGAAATTATTATATATATATATATATATATATATATATATATATATTACATAATGTTCTAGCCTTAATATTTTACCAAATAATGAATCGAGAACAACGATATTTTGTTCTAAATCCCTAACAAACTATTTAAGGGTACTTTAATTATTTAACGAATTTGTTTTTAGCAATTTTTATATATGATTTTTTTTAATATTTTTAAGACATTCACTGCTAATCTAGAGAGCTAGAAATAAAAATAATAGGAAAGTAGGAGAAACAAGTCTTTTTTGCTTGAAATATTTAAATGGGATATTTAACTGGGTCTCACGCACCATATGCGTGCGCAGTAGCCATAAAAAATTAACCTACCCGATTTAAATAATATTTATTGTACTTGTATTTATAAAATATCAATATGATTTGAATATTAGTCAATTTTTTTCAATTTTTGTTGCAGTAAAATTTTTTCAAGATATTTTCATTTATTACTAAATTGAATTACATTTTTTTCAATTAATTAGTCTCAATAAAAGCATATGAAAAAATTTAAAAACTGATTTATATGTCTATTATTCACATTAGTACGATTTTGTTTCTTTTATTTATGATCAAAGAATTTTAATAAATGATATTAAAAAACATTTTTATGTAAATTAATTGTTATAAAAAATTATAAAAAGTTAATAATAGTTTTATTTAATTGTTTATATTTAAAATATTGGTATGTAATATATTTTTATAATAATTGCAGAACATATATTTTGGGCTAGAGCATTTTAATATATATATATATATATATATATATATATATATATATTACTAATGTATATATCGCTACCTTGTATATATTTAAATGTGTCGATGTATTTGTACATATAAAATTCGTTGTGTATATATATATTAACAGTATTTAATATTTTTCTTTATATTTTTTTTCATAATTTTTAATATTCTTAATATTTGATTCAGTCAGTCAGTCAATCAGTGTTCACCTACATATTCATACATTTGTATATTATACATCCATTTATACATATGTATATATATAATCACATAATAATTCCACACAAACTATATATACATATTATACATGTAGACGTACAAATTTATATATATATATATATATATATATATAGCTTTTGATGTTATAAATTATATATATATATATATATATATATATATATATAAATATATCATTAGCAAGTGCTTCTTTTCGATTTTTAACCAAATTTTCAGAAAATTATTGCTGTACGTTTCGACCCTAGATGTGTCTTATTATTCACCAGGCCAAAGTGATTTTTTTAAATGTGGAAATGAAAATAGAAAGACAAATTGATTTTTAGTAAACTCTTTTTTAATTTTTCTTAATAAATTTTATAATCAGCTGATAATTATCACGTAAAAGATGAACAGAACAAAGGTTTATTAACGAAAGAAGAATTCAAAAAAATAAATAAAAAAAGACTCAGCACAGGTTTTTTCTTTATATAAAATAATATTCTTTAAAGTATAAAAGTATGGTTAAAATTGAAGATATGTTCTGACAGCATCGTTTTGAATTGATTTGGATTTTTAAAATTATAAACATTTTAAAATACTGTAGGAAAACTTAATATTTTTTTTTAAACGAACTGTAGTGTTTATTACATTAATTTTACATTTTTTTGTAAGTTTGTTCGGACGAAGGTATATTAACGCAAGAGGAATTTAAAAAAAATAAAAAAAAGACTCAGCAAATCGTCTAAAGTCACTCTTTTTTTCTTTATTTTATAAAATAGTCTGTTAATGATTAAAATTGAACATATGTTCTCACAGCATTGTTTTAAATTGATTTGGATTTCTTAAATTATAAATTTGGGAAAACTTAATATTGATTTTTAAAAGTACTTTAGTGTTTTGGGGACATCCATTAATCACATGAACTATCTAGTAAGATATCACGTGTATATATTTTTACTTAAATTTTCAAAAAAAACAAAAATTTTACATTTTTTTGTAAGTTTGTTCGGACGAAGGTATATTAACGCAAGAGGAATTAAAAAAAAAAAATAAAAAAAAGACTCAGCAAATCGTCTAAGGTCACTGTTTTTTTCTTTATTACATAAAATAGTCTGTTAATGATTAAAATTGAACATATGTTCTCACAGCATTGTTTTAAATTGATTTGGATTTCTAAAATTATGGAGAAAATTAATATTGTTTTTTTAAAAAAACTTTAGTGTTTTGGGGACGTCCTTTAATCACATGAACTATCTAGTAAGATATCACGTGTATATATTTTTACTCAAATTTTCTAAAAAAAAAAATTTTACATTTTTTTGTAAGTTTGTTTGGACGAAGGTATATTAACGCAAGAGGAATTTAAAAAAAAAATAAAAAAAAGACTCAGAAAATCGTATAAGATCATAGGTTTTCTTTATATAAAATAATATTTTTTAAAGTATTAAAAGTATGGTTCACATTAAACATATGTTCTGACAGCATTGTTTTGAATTGATTTGGATTTTTAATTTTTATAAATATGTTGATTTACTGTAGGGAAACTTAATAATTTTTTTAAACTTAATAATTTTAGTGTTTTTAGGGGGGACATTCATTAATTTGACAAAAATCACATGGAAAATCTAGTAAGATATAACGTGTATATATTTTTACTTAGATTTTCAAAAAAAAAAACAAAAATTTTACGTTTTTTTTGTAAGTTCGAAAAATTTGTTCGGAAAATTTTACGTAACTAAAAATACACTAGGGTATAAAAATTCCTAAAAAATATGATCACGTGATTCATTCACCCCTTTGAAGTTTTTGTTTTTGTCCTAGTTGATGTTGATTGTTGACACACATCAAGTGTCGAAACGTTGCAGGATGTTTTCTTTCAACTTTATTTTTATTTCAACAAATAAGGTAATTATTTCATCGTTTATATATTAATTTAGAGTGATCCTTAATATGGACATTTTCGAATTTCCTTGCTCCCAAAGGCTCAAATGGTTCCAAATTGTTAAAAGTTTTAGCTTTTAATATTGCATTTTAGATAGTGCGCAATTCAATCAAAAATTTGTATAAAAACAGATTGAATTGCGCGCTATCTAAAAGTTAATATTAAAAGCTAAAACTTTCAGAGAATTGTTTTTTATAAATTTGGAATCATTTGAGCCCTTGGGAGCAAGGAAATTCGAAAATGTCCATATTAAGAACCACCCTAATATACACAAGAGAAGCACTTGATAGAAAATTTTGCTCATTGTATATATACTTTAAAAAAATCTGAACCAATTTCATTTTTGTTTCTTTCTCTCGACGCTTTTCTTAAACCTGAACTCGGATGAACTCGGAATCTTGGACCTGACTCTGTAAATATCTCTGCAAATATTATGCATACCATATATCATTTGGATGGTGGTAAAACCTAAAAAATTCATATAATATATATAAATATATACTCTGATTTTTTTTATACATTTTATGGCTCTTGGTTGGGACTTCTGTGGCTGCGATTGATCTATGAACGTTTTTCGTTTTTGCTAACAAAATAAATTATCGATTGTGCGAAAATTGAAAAACACTTGCGGATGTTACGAATTTCCCAAAAAACTAAAAAAATATAAAAATAATATACATTTTGGTAATTATTAAAATATAATTTCATACTCTCTAAATGTTACTCATATTTATATTTTCTTCATTTTTTTTATTTTTTACAAACACCACATTACTACCCCTTACCTGTTTTTTTGATTTCTGGTTTCCAAATTTTCTTTGTCTTCGATTACCAAATCTTTGTCCTTTACCTATTTGCCAAATCTTGCTTTGTCCTTCAATTATTTTTTTCCCTCCCTGGTTTGTCTTTCAATTGCCCCTGCAGAGAATTACCACGGTTCCAACACTGTATTTCTAGTAGGGATGCTGATGTCTGTGGTTGGAGGGGTTTTCGTAACATTCGCCCTAATGGCACTTTGCTACAGATCAGTCGTTGTTCACAAAAATTTCGCCTTGTGCCTAAGGTAACGACCAAAAAATTTAAAAATAGTCAATGACACTAATTTTTTAATGGTTCTCTTAATTAAAAAACTTAAAATTAAAATTTGTTAAAAAGAATAGGCTCGACAGATCACTTTACATACATTAAAGAATTGTATGTTCCTTGGAAAAAACTTTTTTATAAATCTGGACTCCGACTAGTAAACAATTTTAGTACAACGACTAGTACTATTTTTACCAAAACAAAAGCAACGTTTGATATCGAACGACTTAGAAATCTCGTTTATCAAATAAATTGTCTAGATTGTAATTTAATTTACATAGGAGAAACAAGCCTGAACTTAATTAAATGTTTACAACAACATAAAAACAATTCAAAAAATCCGAGACAATTTAAAACCATGATTGCGGTGCATATTTATACTTTAAAACACAATATAGACTTTTCTAACCCGACTGTACTACAATTCGAACAAAATTTATTCAAACGAAGAATTATAGAAGGATCTTTTTTAACTATTTATAACAATAAGACAATAAATAAATCTCTTATTTAGATAACATTTCCAAATTTCTCACAAAACAATAAAAACGACGCGCAAAGGATTCGCAATTCGTTCCACACATGTGTAGAATCTTGGTAAAAAATATTTTTTAAAAAAGTCTTTTCTCCATTATATCTTCAACCCTATCTATCTATTTGTGATTTTTTAAATTAGTATTTTGTGAAAATATTGTGTAATTACAAGTTTAATGTTTATAATACATAGTGTAGTGCATTATCATATCCTGATATCATGGATTATTAAAATCTTCCAATTTATACGATTGCGATAGGGAAAATACCCTATATTTATAAAGCTTTTTTCTTCGACTTAAAATTTAACTTTTTTTAATATTTTTATGTGTTTTTTAAAAGAGAACTATTAAAAAATGTGAAAAATTTCAGAGTGTATCAATATTACTTTAAATAAAAGTATACCTAACAGAAATTCTTCATAATATAAATAATATAAATTGATTTATTAATCATATCAGTTTATTTTTAATATAATGAATATTATGTTAAGGATTTCTGTTGAACTTTGCAATATATTACATTTTTATATACTGCAATATTATAAATGTTTTGTGTCTTTAATTAAAATTTTAATATTAGGTTGTCAAATATCTCCCTTCCGCTTTTTTGCTCTTGGTTTATAATACAAAAAGGCGGAAGGGAGATATTTGACAACCTTATATTAAGTGAGTGTACAACTTTGCTTCCGCCGTTTATACAATACGACTTCTTTACAAAAACGGCGGCAGCAACGTTGTACACCTAATAAAATCTGAAATGACAGTTTAGATGTATATTGATTATAGTTGATATTGACTAAATGGCTTTTGTTGACATACAGTATTAACCAAAGGACTTTTGATGACATATGACTTTTGTTGACACTCTTTCCACATATTTTATAAGACTTGTATTGACATTCGAGAAACCAAACGATTTTTGTTGATACTTTACTTGATATTGTGCTCTGTCGAAGATGGCCAAATGTCTTTTTTAAAGATTGACCTTTGACATAAATTGACTTCTATCAGCTTTTTAGATTGGCCAAATTAATCTTGTGCACTCAGGGTTGATCAAATGACTTTTGTTGACACTAAATATTGATGAAATTACTGGGTTTGACTATATGACTTTTATTGACTTGCATTGGTACTTATTTTGACACTACGTAAAATTAAATGTCTTTTATTGATGTAATTGACTAAATATCTCACAATTTACTGAACGAAATTTGTTGATATCGAAGTTAACCATATACTGCTGACACTTGCAGAAGTCAACCAAATGACATTTTTAATATATTAATAAATGTAAATAATTTATTTATATATAAATGTTCTTGCATGTCCGATGTCAACTATTTCCAAGCATGTTTTTCGGTGTTTTTTGTGTTGCACACTGCCAAAATCTTTCCACAAATTTTGCTGTAAAATTGGCAAATAATAATTTTATAATGTTAAATATTATCTACTTTTGAATTACAAAAATAAATCTTCAATAAATAAAAAAAAAGTTGAATGGAAATTGTTAAGTCATTACTTTTTAAAAAAATATATATTTTAAAGGTCGTATAAAAGTCGTTATGTAATTAGTTTATAGTTCAGAACGAAATTATTGTTGTCTAACTGTATTGTATGTAATATAGTACTTCAATTGGATTTCAATTAACTTAATGTGACATGCTTTTGAGTTCTGGGACACTTCGTATAGTACATATGAGTGATTAGTATATATCCTTAAGGGGCACAACTAGTGTAACCGCCTAAAAAAGGTGATTTTTGGGAAACTATATTAAAAAAACTACTTTAGCAATCATTTCAAAATTTTAGGAATATATTTATACATGTTTTAAGAATACATAGTAAAATTTTTGAAGATAAAAATTAAATATTTTTTTAAGTTATCGTCGATCTCCAACGGCGCGAAAAAAGGCCCTTAACTGGTGCTGTGATTCCGGCCTTCTACGTGGATAAAATTTAAAAAAAAAATCTTGTTAAACTAGATAATATTATCTGTAAAATAAACTACGATAAAGAGAAACAACAAAAATTGACAAAATTACGGCGTTTTTAAAAAAATGTCGAATTTTATCCAAGATTTTGGTCATTTTTGGACTGCCAAAATTCAATTTTTGATCCGATCAAAAAATCGATAGTTTATTTCACGGAGAACTATATATAGAACATATAAAAAAAATTTGCTAGTGATTAACCCAGTCAAATTAAGATTTCAGTTATAAATAATTCGCATTTCGCTTCGCATAGAAATTTGGTACAGATGTTAAATAGGCCATTACAAATGAAATGTCAAAAGTCTCCATCGATCCGACATCTGCGATTTTTTTTATTCAAGGTCAAAAGTGCAAAAATCTAGTTTTCCCCATTTTCCGCCGAAACCATAATAAATTTTAAAAAATCATGTTAGATACATTTATAAAATTCTCTTTTAAATTGTTATGAATAATTTTTTTCTTTAGAATCACCGTTACTGAGATATTGCCGTTTGAAAAGTTTTTTTTTAAAAAAAATTCTAATAATTATTACAACTGTTACATAATTAACATCTAGCAATGTACATCTAGTATTAAATGTGTAACATCTAGTATTAAATTTCAGCTCTGTGCAAATTATTCCTAACTAACGACTTTTTTAGCTTTAATTTGACTGGGTTATGATCGTTTCGAGAAAAACGCGTTTAAAGATAAAATGTTCGTTATACTATATATATATATACACCTAAGTCTGTTTTTACACGGTAGATTGGTTCCAGAAGAAGCCGTGTAAAAAAAAACGTGTATTTATTTATTTATTTATTTATTTATTCATAAGCAAGCCGTAATCAATAATAATAAATATTATTTGTAAAAAAAGACATTGATCTTATACAAAAATGGGTGATTTGTTCCTAATCTCTAAAACCTATTAAAATTAGTGAAAAACAAGAATTTTTAGGAACAAGAATTCATGTTTATTTTATTAAATCAAATATATAATTCTGATACTATCGATGGTTTCAGACTTGTTTCTTTCATAAATACTTTTTTGTGATATGAACATACTTCGCAAATATTAAATTTGACAAAAAGAAAATTAAGTACATAAAATTTCAAATCGTGCTAAATGGAATAAAATCGTGTAAAAAATTTAAAAATATTCAATTTTCAAACCGTGTTATATCAAAACCGTGTAAAAACAGACTTAGGTGTACTCTTTAAATGGCTGTTACTCAAAATCTATTTAAGATATCGATTTAAAATTTTGGTACGTTATTTTTAAAGGTATAACCTATCGAAATATGAAAAAATTAAAAATTCGATTTTTTGAAAATTTCACACTAGTTGTGCCCCTTAACTCAAAGTGACATGCTTTTGAGTTCCGGGACACTTCGTATAGTACAGATGACTGATTATATATACCAACTATAAATATTATCTATTAATATTAACAAAGTACAGTTTTACAACAAATTTCGTCTAACCCCTCGAACAATTCCGTTACCCTTTTCCCTCGAACGTAGAAGAAAAAGCACCTCCATGCCCGCCTACCGGACGGATCCTCCGTACGCCAAAAAGATGGCAGTTAGCCGCCACCATTCCGGTTCCGGAGGCGGAGGCGACCAGCAGCACATGGGAGGCTCCGGAGGCCACCAGCACGGAGGCATGCAGCCAGGAGACCACAGGGCGATGTCCAGGGAGGACCTGGCAGCGTCCCTAGATGGCGTCGCCAAGATGCTCAGTTTTGCGAACGCTCCATCGTACAGGTATTAAAGGATAGTAGAAAAGAATATATAAATAAATACAGGGTGATGTTGAAGTTAAAGTTACTGAGACCTCTCTTGAACCACGACAGCCCGCTAAGCGTGAAGAACAAGCGGACACTTTACTTAACACTCATAAGACCGTTACTGACATACGCCGCTCCGGCATGGAACGCGACGACTAAGACTAACTTACGACTACAGACATTACAAAATAAAACACTAAGACCTAGTACTTAACAAAATAAGGGACTCACTGACTGACTAGACATTACTACTCTTCAAAATACATACACAAACAGACTGACGTACCGACAATACTAGACTATATAAAAAAGCTCACCGCAAATTTTTATCTAAAATGTGGAGATCATCATAATACTAACATCGCGGATCTCGGCCAATATATTAGACTCTAATATATAATTAAATAATAATTAGAGACTTGATTTGGTATGGCAATCACGCCGTGCCAAACTATATACTGATCGACCCATAGCGGCAATTGATACTTGGATGAGAATAAATCTTTTATTTTGTTTTTCTTTTTATTTGTATAATTAACTATTATTGTAAATATTGCTTTGTGGTTTTTTTTGGGAGAAAAAGCTTCTTTCCTCTTTTTTGCCACACGATTTGTTACACATCTCACTGTGTTCACAATATTCACTGTATATATTTAGATCAATTATGTAATATAAAATACCCATGGGTAGTAAAATATGTGATAACTAACAATGTTAATGTATGATCAACTATTGAAATAAATACTTTTTGTCTGTCTGTCTGTCTAAATATAGGTTTATATATATATATATATATATATATATATATAATATTTATAATAATTATTACATTTATTTTTCTACCAGGGCTGACTCGCAGCGAGTGCTTTTTCGTCCGATGAATCACACTGGAGCAGGTTCATCTAGATTTCAGTAAGTTCATAAATAAGTGTTATATTTATATTTATATTTATATTTATATTTATATTTATATTTATATTTATTAGGTTGTCAAATATCTCCCTTCCGCTTTTTTGCTCTTGGTTTATAAAACAAAAAGGCGGAAGGGAGATATTTGACAACCTTATATATTCATATTTATATTTATATTCATATTCATATTCATATTCATATTTATATTTATATTTATATTTATATTTATATTTATATTTATATTTATATTTATATTTATATTTATATTTATATTTATATTTATATTTATATTTATATTTATATTTGTATTTGTATTTGTATTTATATTTATATTTATATTTTTTTTATATTTATATTTATATTTACATTTACATTTATATTTTACCTGTCGTTTTGTCAAGTCTTTCAGTTTAGTATTAGGATTCAGGTCGTCGAGACCTTTCAAATGATACCTCACATGACATATGTGACGTCATAATGTTTTTACCCTTCATTTGGCCCGTCAACGTACATCTATTTGTCATATATGTTGGGTTTATACAAAAACCGACATTTCAGAAAACCGGTTTTCGAATTTTAATTTTACTGAAAAACCGGTTTTAACCGGTTTTCAAATTTTATATATAAAATAAATTTTTGCTCGAATATTCTGTAATTTATTCGCAAATTTAGTGTAATTTAGAGCAGAATTTGACTGAATTTATTTATTGTTCAATTTTATGGATAGTAAACAAAATTATTTTAATTTTAATTAGTAGAACTAAAAAATAATAGTTTATCTTGACTAAATAACTTTGAAAATAATTATTCGTTATTCATGCATCATTTTCACATATAAGAATGAAAATATTTTTATGATAGTGAAAGGAAAGTTTTCGAATAAATAAAAATAATACATTTCTAAATAAAAAACATTCATTAAATTAAAAGAAATAAATAAAAAATTATTAGATACATATTGATACATACTTGTTAATATCAATTTTAGTTTTAGAAACAATTAAGCTAAACTTGGGTATTGTCTGTTCCGAGCAATTTTAATTAATTAATTTTAAACACTCTAATTGTTTTTTGTTTAATAAAATACGATTTCATAAAACTGAGGACGTCTGTCAAATTGTTACTTATACGTGTCCTTTGTTCATTCACAAAATTTTCTGAACTAGAAAATACTCTCACCAAATTATGCCTAATTATTTTTAAAGCCTGATATAATAGTTCTTAGTTTTTTGTTCTTTAATTTGTAGCTTATAGGGTTCAAAACTCTTTTTTTTAAGTTTGAGTAGAGGAATTTACTTCTTCAAGAAGAAGTTACACTGATTTAAATTAAATTTTTGCTTAAATTTTATTTAATAAATTCGTATAACATTTGTTGAAATACCAAAAATAATTTACAAAAACTTAATATCATTTCATATAAGATGCAAAAAATAAGTGTTTTTAATAAAATATATAATAAATTGAATTTAAAAAAAAATTTAAAAAATTAAAATGTAAAATTAGTGACTGAAAAAAATAAACACTTACATAAATTTCAATAGAAAATTGTGTAAGTATAACTTTTTCAGAAAAGATTTAAAGATTTTATATTTCAAAAAAATAGTATATATATTTAGAATTAAATCGTTTTATATATTGAATTTAATATTATTTGCTTTATTTTATTATATTTATATTCAAATCATTTTTGTTACAAACTGAAGGATTATTTAAAAAATCTTAAGTTGCTTTTTTTATTTCTTTTGTATTAAAAAAAAGCATATTTTTGCTAAAATTTTATTTAACAAATTTGTACATTTGTTGAAATACCGAAATTTATTTTACACTGGTATAAAAATCTAAATTAATATATACAAAACCTTTCTGGGAACCATTGCAGACTGATAAGATATCAAATGCTATTGAACCGATATGATTTCAAGAATCAAAACGCCTTCATCTATCTTTTATATTTGGCTATATTTGTCATTTTTCATTTATACAGTGAAAACCGACTTTTTTCACTAAAAACCGGTTTTCGAATCCCATAATTTTCGGCAAAAAACCGGTTTTTAAAACCTTTTAAACTACATATGGTATATTATTATTATTTTTTTCCCAGGGATCACAAACTTCAACAGCAGATGAAGCGCCTCGGAGTCGGATCAGGTAGCGAAGAGGACCCCGGACATTTGGGTTCGGATTTTATATCTTAGATATATTATATAATATTATATAATAAAATATCTATAGATATATATAGAGATGTTTAGATTGTACTAACATTTCGTTTCTTCTTCAGGTGAATTGACTTGCAACGGAACGCTTAGACGAGTCGGTTCGTCGGGTGTCTTTGTGCCGATACCGAACGGAACCGGATCGGTAGTCGGTAAGATTTAAAATTGATATATATATATATATATATATATATATATATATATATATTATATTTATATATATATATATATATATATACTAGCATACCCAGCCTCGCGACGGCCCTTATTAAAATCCACCTGATTGAAATTTGAATCCGTTTGACATTTCAAACCTTTTGTTATAAAAAATTCTTATCAATCCAAAAATAAATAAAATCCGGATTGAAATTTGAATATGATGGATCATTACTATTGATTAAAGTGTTTTTTTTAAACTTAAATAATAAATTAAATGAAATAATTAAAGATTTGAATAAATGAGTACATTGCAAAATTTATAATAAATAACCAAGTGACTTTCATAAATTTGTTATATCCTATTTGGTATTACGTCCTATTTATCTTGCTAACATTTTAACATGTTCTATGTATTTAGGAATGGTTTCATTGGTCACATACTATTGGGAACTTGCTATAAGCCCTTAATATTTTCTTTGAAAATTTTCCATATATTTATGATTAGACACTCACCGGTTTTAATGCATTTTTTTTAAATTTGTGATTACTTACAAATCACTTATAATATAAATTTCCGACTATAAATTCATATTCATACTGTCCCTGAAACTAACATGGATAAAGTTCTGAGAAATCCGAGTCCAAATCTATAAAATGTTTGATTTTTGGCACTTTTATTAATTTTTTATCAATTTTCGTACTGTAAAATAATGGATGATTATTTATCAAAATTGTAATATTTATACTTTAATTTAAAAAATATAATTAAAATATGCATTAAATCGTATTGTCTATAACATATGTATGTCATTTTATGAATATTATTTATTACTTTGGTGCTTGATATGGGTATGAATTTCTAATAAAGTATATTCTTTCTCACAAATAGGTAAAAACTTGTTATAATTTTTAAAGTTATTTGGCATTTCATAGTTTAAAAATTAATTTATTCGCATCATAGTGTTTATAGTATATTAACTAAGAAATATCTATAATTAAATGACCTTATATTTAAATATTATTTATTTTTTAATAAATTCATAATTATTCTAAGTATTCAATGAATGAATTATATAATTGTTAAATTCATAGGTTTGGCTAAATCAACACAGGAATATTGTGGAAATAAATATTTTTTTACATAAAGATTTGACTTTTGACATTTGCATTTTATTTCAAATTAATTATAACTGTCAAAATATTTTCTTTTCGGTCAAAAATTAATATAATATGATATAATATATAGTTTGTCTAGTTTGTTTTTGTCAGATTCCAATGATACCCTCAAATTGTACTGTTCAATTCAAAAGGTTACAATTTCTTGTAAAATTAGCATTTGCGATGACAATCAAAATATATCTCAACTGATATATTAATAATAACATTATATTTTAATCACAAAAATTTCTTTACACTTCGATAATTAATTCCAACGTATCATAGTGTTTTGTTTATTTTAATTTTGTTTGTGCCAATTTTTTTAAATTAATGAATAAGTTAGGTTTTAGTCTAAATCAACGCAGTATCTTTATCTAAATATACAATTTTTTATATAAATATTTGATTTTTTACATTTGCATTTAATTGAAAATAGTGAATGTCAATTTCATATATCCAATAAGCACTAAATTTATAAATGTCAAAATATTTCCTTCTTTGTGGAAAATTAATATAATATGATTATATTTATGGTTTGAATCTATAATTTGTTTAGCAATATTGCCTATAACATAACTTCGAATAATTAATTTATTTGTTTCTTATTGAAGTCGTCATTTTTTTTTGAACTGTCAAAATTTTGTTTATGATTAATTTTAAATTCAATATGCCGCTTTTTTATTGTGATCTATAATGTTTTGATGAAGTTTTGGTATCAGAAATAATTTGGTAAGCTAATCAAATAAATATAAATTATAAATCTACTTATATAATTATTTTCATAAATATTGACAAATGACATTTCACTTTTTCTCATGTCAACATTTATTTAAATTTATGAACATTGATTTTTAATTAGATTTAAAACTATAAACAGTGATTTTGAATATAGCATTTTATCTAATTTGGATATAAATGTTGGATATATCTATATATGTATATCTTTTTGAATTATATTTTCTGAACTGTCAAATAATTTTTTTCAAAAATCATAAATCTTTTTTTCTCGAATTTTCCATAAATTTTGATATTTGTCATTTTAGTGGCATTTTCTGTCAAAATTTTTAGAAATTTATAAAAATTATATATTTATGTTTTAAATTTACTTTTCAAAATTTCCTATAACCTAAGTTGGATATATATGCACACGTTGAGCTAATAACATTTAAATTCGGTCCAGTAGTTTGGGCGTCCATCGCGAACCAACATCGTGACACGAGGTTTATATATATACGAGGTTTATATATATATATATATATATATATATATATATATATATATATATATATCAAATTAATCTCCATTTACTTCTTTAGGTTAATCAAATATTATATGAAAATGTTTTTATCTTATGACATATGAATTATTAGTGCGTCTAAAGAATGCATTTCACTTCACTTTACTGCCATTAACACCATGAACATGTGTATCTATAAATTTTCTTCAACACTGTCGCAATTGGTCTCCTTCTGCTGTCAAAATTTAACACAGTCCTTCTTCTGTCCAATCTCTTCTCAGGTGCTCCCAATGATGAAGAGACTGTGTCTTTTATAGATCTGCCGCTGGTGAGGGGCGCCGCAGCAGGCGAGAGGGTCCCCGAAAAGGGCATCCTCAAGAAACACTACTCCGGAGGCGGCGGCGACCGGTGGGTTGCGGGCGAGTGCTGCGACTCGCAGAGCGATAACGGGGCAGAAGACGCTCTGAGGTAAAGGAAGAAATTGAAATAAATTATAAGAAATTATTTATAAGAAATCTGCATATATATAAAAATAAGTCGGGTTTTCCTTCCTGACGATGTAACTCCAGAACGCACGAACCGATTTCGACAATTTTGCATTCGTTGGAAAAGTCTCGGGCTACGCAAGGTCTATAGCTAAGAAAATTAGTTGTGCATGGCATCGTGTCTTAATGCAAATTGCTGGAACTTCACGCACCGTAATTAAAAATTCGATCAATGACATTAGTGAGAGTTATCAGAATTATGCTTGGTTAAGTCAACGAGCAGTTCTTGCCGCAAAGAATAATGATGTACACGCACTGAATTTCACCATTAAATCAAAAATTGCTGGCGATTTGGTGACATACCAATGATTACGACTGGTCGTCTTCCGTTTGACTTCAAACGATTGCAATTTCCACTTTGCAATAACAAGTCGCAATGCCAATCGCTTAGTGTTTGCGGGATAAATTTCAAATAGATTATTTAGAAAATCATTGTTTTTCACATGGGCAGTTATACGAGTTGGAAAACCATCCGCTTTGTTTGTGTTAACGTCAGACCAAAAAACAAAAAATGTGGTTTACCAAAGAGCACTTCAATGAAACGGATAATTTGCGGATTCACTTTCATTTACTTAGAGAAGTTCTACTAACAAACACTTCATTTTTGTAATCGAAATAAATTCATTTCTGTTGTATAATAGAATCAATTTTTTCCTTTTCAAATATAAAACAAACAAAAAATTTCTTCATCTTTCTCACGAAACCATCTGGTGGTGAAACGGAGTTCGTCGGGATTGCTAGTTATTTATAAGAAATTATTTTATAAGTCAATAGTTAAAAAAAGGGACTCTACCGACAAATAGTTAAAAATAGTTAAATAGTTAAAAAAAAGGACTCTACTGACGAGCAAACTAATCTAGAATTAATAAAAGGGACTCTACTGACAAGCAAACTAATCTAGAATTAATAAAAGGGACTCTACTGACGAGCAAACTAATCTAGAATTAAAAAAGGGACTCTACTGACGAGCAAACTAATCTAGAATTAATAAAAGGGACTCTACTGACAAGGAAACGAATCTAGAATTAATAAAAGGGATTCTACTGACGAGCAAACTAATCTAGAATTAAAATCTTATATATAAAAATGGAGCTCTCGGTCAAATGATTTGGTAAAACTCGAAAACGGCTAAACCGATTTGGCCAGTCTTAGTCTTGAAAAATTCGTGCTAATCAGTAGGTTGTCGGAAAGGTGAGATATTATTTGAAAATCGCGTAGACTTTACATTTTTAATTTGAAAGATTTTGTAGAAGCGTAATTTGAATAAAACATTGTACGGTGGCTAATACGTCAAATGTCAAACGTTTTTGACAGATGATGTTCAATTACGTTTAAAAGGATGTTTTACGTGAATATTATTTAATTATGATTAAATTGTAGTAAGTAGTTTTGTTTCTAGTTTTATTTATATACAAAAACGTTAGTAAACATTTTGACGTAAACAAATTGGCGACTTAAAATATATTTTAAAAATATAAAGCGTTGTAATACAGTTATGAAATTATAGTATGTTATTTCTTAATATTGGTACTGAATTATAAAAATATAAAATCAAATATGTTTCTAACAAAAAAAACTAAAAAATTGCAATGCACACTTGCATACTCTATTTTTATTAGTTGCGAATCGACGGTTGGATGTGATATGAGAAGTACTTTTGAAAAATGTTTTAAAAATATACAATATTACACTAGAGCTATAAAAATTTAGTATGTTATCACCTAATATATGTACTCAATTATAAAAATATAAAATCACATATGTTTCTAACAAAAATGCTATAAATGTGCAATTTTGTAAACAAGTGCATTCTTGCATATCTAGTTTCCAATAGTTGCAAATCCACGGTTTGATGAGTATTTTGAAAAATATTTAAAAATATAAAACGTTATACTGGAGTTACAAAATTTTAGTATGTTATTTCTTAATATGTGTACTAAATTATGAAAATATAAAATCATACATGTTTCTTACAAAAACAGCTATAAATTTGCAATTCAGTAAAATCATGTAATAGAGCCGCAAGTGTTACTACAAACTCAACAATATCAATTTTTTTGAAATTTCATTTGTATAATTTATACTCATTGGTATTTATAAAACATTTTCTAGGTTAAATTATTTTTTATTTATGTTATTTAAATTCAGAACCTAAATTTGGTATCGATCAAAGGGACATTTTGCCGAATGACATTTTCCCAGTTATAATTTCCCAGAATTTATCGAAGAATAGATAGTAATATATGAAGGTTAGGTGTTAAAAAGGTCCACCACCGATGTGTCAAAAATCAGTAAAGTTAAGCATTGTTTAACAACAATATTTGAAAGTAGAGGGGAAAAGATGTATAACCAGCTATAACCTTGATTCTTATGACTTTGCTATCGGTTAAAACCGGTTTTTTAGTAAAATTAAAATTCGAAAACCGGTTTTCTGAAATGTCGGTTTTTGTATAAACCCTAGTAGTTTCTAACTGGGTTTTTGTTTCTAGTAATGCTGGTTTGACCCAAGCCGAGACCCTTGCCTTGAGCGATATGCTCTCCGGTCTTCACCGGCATCATCATCGTTCTGCAAGTGGTTCCCAAACCCCGACTGCCAATCTGCAAGGGGGTGCTGGTACGAACAGTGCCGACGTTGAGAGGGCTTTGAGAAGTCTCAATGGGTACCACGATGACATCATTGAGGCCTTGAGAGGTGCCTCTGCTCATAGAGGCGACGTGGAACGAAGTGGCTCTCAAAGGGATTTGCAGGATGTCATGAACGCCACTGGACAATATATAGGGTAACTAAAATTATTATGCAAATTTTCTACAGAAGTTCTAATAAATCATATGGTACCCATCTACTAGGCTACCAGACAAACGAGCAATTTATGACAAAATGACCAATAAATGTCCAGTTGTAAAATTTTTCGGTGTTTCAGGCAATCGAACAAAGTTTCATTCATATTTCTTGAACATTAGAGAAAAAAGTATATATATTTCGAACGTGTAACGAGATAAAATCGACTTTTGTTGCAAATTTTAGTTCGTTTTCATTTTATTTAAACATTTATTATTTATATAAAAATCATATAAAATTATTCATATTAAATTAATGTCAAACATTTGCAACAGATGAATTTGGAATTAATTTTGTCGCAAATATATAGCGCAAATATAGACCAATCGCCGTTATAACAAATTATTATGTTTCAACAAGCATTATAAAAAAATTAACAGTACAAAAGAATCATTAATACCCAACTTAAAGATTTTTATGAAGATCCCTAGTAAAATGATAAAAATTAATAGTTCAGGCGACTAAAATGATGTTCGCAGTTCTGGCAGACATCGGAGCAACCAGATTTTACCTGAATATTTTGCCATAAAATGACTCGAAACGATACTTTTTTCCATAAAATACAAAAATATATTTTCAAAATCACGTAGGTAAAATATGTAGGTGAAATTCTATATTTATTTGTGCATAATATTCAATATTTATTTATATTTGAAAATTATTATAAATCCATGCGTTTCAGATAACATCCTTGCTTTATTCAGTTGATTATATAGTCAAGAATAATAATTTATCTAATTGTAAGTAAACCATTAGAAATAGTTCAAGAATAAAAATAATAATAATAATAAACTAATCTAAAATTACTTGAAAAGTGCATTATTGCAAGATATATATCCAGATATTACAAGTATCAATACAAATAAGCATGAATAATATTTATTCAAAGAACAATAAATAATGAACTATTTATTTATACGTTTCGACAGGGTCCGTGTGTCATCATTCAGCTTTTTTTAAATATTTATACAGTATAACACCAGGAAAAACTATCACTTTAATTAACATACTTCTTTCACTATTTTTATTAGTATGATATATTATAGAATAATACCCTTTCATGGGTACACATTATTATTCGCTAAATAAAGTAGGTACTTTTATATTCACAATATTATTTAAATTATATTATCAAATGTCTGTCATTAATGTCTGGGTATTTCTTTTGGAAAAAGGTAACATTGCTTTTACGTACCTTTACCTTCTACGTACCGAAAGTCCACAAATGAATTTAATCTGATTTTTCCAGAACCCGAAATTCTATAAATTAACCGTTAACACCTTAGATCGCAAAATCCATTTCTTGCGCTGATTTCAATGATATAAGAAAAATATTATTTTTTTTATTTCAAATGAATATGTAACAATAAGAATATACCTACCAAATTTCTTTATATATTATAAATAAAATCTTAGAAATGGATATAGTAAGTACGGCAATGCAATGTATTATTGTCTAATAATAAACTTTTTATATACTACAAAAAATTATACTGGAAAAATACATACATAAAGTTTTACACATTTTATTCTTCATATGAATAAAAAAGTGATTTTTAATTCGTATTTTTGCCTTCAAAAATAAATATAATATTGAATTTGTTTTAAAAGTTGTCCGTTTTTAATTGCACCTCAAAAAATATGATTCTCAATATTGGTTTGGAATTTAATTTCACTTATGAAATCCACATTGCACGACCCTTTCTCGTATCTGCATTATTGTAAATGTAGACGTATATTCCAAGATTAAAGGCCATGTTTCAGGTTAAAATTAGGTTCTAATATAATGTAAATCGTGAATAATTTGTTATAACTGCTGCAAATAATAATAAATAAAATAATCTGTTGCAAATGTACAACATTAATTTAATATGAATAAGTTTAATATGATTTTTATATAAATAATAAATGTTTAAATAAAATGAAAACGAACTAAAATTTGCAACAAAAGTTGATTTTATCTCATTTTACGTTCGAAATATACATACTTTTTTCTCTAATGTACAGGAAAAATGAATGAAATTTGGTTCGATCGCCTGAGACACCGAAAATTTTTACAACTGGGCATTTATTGGTCATTTGGTCATAAATTGCTCGGTTGCCTGGTTGCCTAGTGGATGGGTATCATTATCGATGCCGAAGTCACAATTGTCCTTTTCCCCAGTGATCATTCCGGGTCAGCCCAACCCATCAGAATAAGAAATTTGGAGGATCTGATCCGCCAACTGGAGCACCACTCCGCCCGCCACGCCTTATCGCCGAGCGGCAGCGAAATGGACGCAGGCGTCGGAGTCGGAGGCATGGGCGCCGATATGGCAGGCGACGTCGGGGGCAGATTGGCGCCGCCTCAGGGGGGCCACATGCACGGAGTCGTGGGACAGGGAGTTGGAGCTTACAGGGTAGATTCGGCCGCGTGCTCGGAATCGTCACAGGGGTAAGAGATAATAACTCGACTAGAGTTATAATTTTGTATAAGATTTTTTTAGTTTGGTCATACTTTTTATAACGCTATCATAAACACATTCACTTGCTTACTAGTGCAGTAAACGGAGAGCAAAAAAGGGTATAACCACCTCTGAATTTTTTAACTGTGCTCCGAATTGCATGAAATTTTGGAATTAGGTTCATCTTGACATCAAGTTCAAAAGTGAACCACCCTGTGTCAGACATCTTACCATTTGGCGCCAATATTTTTGGTTTGTTGTATAAGTTTTGGCGCACCCTGTGTCTTTGCGACCCCAATAAGTGGACATTGAGCCGTTTTATCGCTAGTAAACGTTTTTAATATTATAGGATACAATTAAAAAATTTTTTTCAATACATTTATCTTGCAATAAAATCATTTTCAATCCCGTGAAAACCCATAAAATCCTTCAAACAACCTCTAAATTGAAAAAAAACACTTAAATATAAATTTCGGTATGATATAATGAGAATGACGTATAAAGTAAATAATATTTTATGTTTTCTATCTTGATTATCAAACTTTTAACCTTTTTTAGACCCTTAAAAACAACCCCTTAATATAATATATATAAGCTTTTTTATAATAAAATATATTATTTATTTTGATTTTACATTTTTTTAAAGTTTATCAAAACTCGACGTTTTATCAATTTTTTGTTTCATATTTATTTTTTCGTGCAATTTCGTGTTTTTTGTGTTTTTTTTTTAATTTATTTGTATGGTGAGTTTCTTTACATTTGTTGATTTTATTGTTGCTTTTCATATATACTTTTTATATATTCTTTCACAATATATATTTGTTTTAAAACTAAATTATTAAATTGGTTAGATTTATGTTTTTATTTATTTTTGTCTGTAATTATGTATTTTTTATATTATTTTGAAGAATAACCTCTCGCTTTATATATATATATATATATATATATATATATATATATATATATATGCTTACTTATACATTGCTCGAAATATGGACACAATTCGACAAAAATGCGATGAGTTTTCAGGTCATAAATCTTTTAATTTCGACTCCATCACAATTTGTAATATATCATTTGAAAGGTAAATTAAAGGGCTACAAATTTTTTCATCATAATTTTTTTCGTAACTACTCTCATTTTGAAACGGCGAAGGGTTAAAGGGCTCGAGAGAGACTCTGATTGCGCGGCCGCGTACTCTTTAAACAATCATAACTCTATCAATAATAAAAAACAATAATAAGCCAGAAAGACCGTTCTGATTTTTATCTATATGCTTTTATACGTATCTTTTATGAGTTTTGAGATATAATGAAAATAGGTTTGATTTTTAAAAAAATCGTAAAAAAAAGTTTTTATAAAATCGTGAGTTTTCTGAAAGTAGTTTGTTTTAAAGTAGTGAATCTGCCAGAATCCATCAAGATGTCCATAAGAAAGTGAATTCTGGAATAATGTGAATTACTTTGATTCTGGTGGAAATGGCGCTCATTAATAATATGATTTGAAAGAAAAAAACTTCGTATATGCTTCTTATTTGCGTGATAGCTCACTCATTTTACACGCAAAAAGCTTGTAACAGGACTTATTTTAAAGCTTATGTTGAGCACTTTGAAACCCAATTTCACCGAAATGCATAAAATGTAAAACCTCGACACTAGATGGCTTTAAATACAACAAATAAATCTTGAACGAAATAAAAAACGAGTTTGCTCTTTTAAATCTTGCTTAATATTATTCCTAGAACGCTTGATAAAACACCGATTTAGCAAGATTTTTATTGACATTATTTAGTTTATTACATGATTTTCTTTAAAATGTATATTTTGGGAGATATTTGCAAAAAAATGAAGAGAAACGTCAAAAATATGTGAATCTTTAGTGGCCAGTAACTTGAAAAGTATTAGTTTTTTTGAAAAACTATAAAAGACATTTTTTTCTTATAATTAGTTCTTCTATCGATTTCCGACGTTGTTTTGAAAAAATGTAATTACACCATTGAGAAAGAGTGTCATACCCCAGAGCCCGATTTGTTTTCACTTTTGAACTTGAGGGTAAGATGAACCTAATTCCAAAATTTCATACAATTCGGAGCACAGAAAAAGAATTCAGACCCAAAACGCTCCGTTTACTGCGCTATACATGAAAGAAATGTCTGAATTTTTGTCTTAGGCTGAATCTTATTTGTATGATATTTATCTCATCCTGCTGTTTTCACCATTGTTGTCATTTATTCCGTCCATCAGTTCGAATCAGCATTTGTCCACATTGGGCATGAAGACTGCAACGATATTACCGTCTTACAGCGCCTCGAGGTGTCGCCCTAGGGTCTCGCCTAATATCCAGCAGCAGCAACAGCAGCAGCAGCAAGACGCGGAGCAGGACAACAGATTCGTTTACGGACGATACAGGCATCCGCCTCAAGGTAGGAACAGATGACTCTGATAATTACATTGACTTTTTTTTAGAAGTAATATAGTATTTAAAATAAGGAATTTTATCTCATTTATTTCATTTATCTCTTATGTAATTTTTCAATTTAATTTTGAAACTGTTTAGGTCCGTCATTGTCTTTAGTTCGTCCAGTAGTTCATTGTAAAGGCTGCTTGCACTTCTCAGAGGACTTGCGAGTCCTTTACTAGTTTTAGTTCTTTAGTATGTTTCATGTGAAAGTTTCGGTTTTGTCGCGTTTGATGGTCGTGTGTATCCTGGTTTGTCTCTATTGTGGTGCCAGTTTTGAATTTGTTATTTTTTATTTTGAATGTTAGTATACATTTTTCTATTTCTATTGTTTTGTGTAGTGGTATGTTCTTTGTCTTTTGTAGAAGTTCTTTTGTCGGGGTGAGGTAGGGTATTACTTTATTTATCATTCTTTGTAGTGTCTTTATATATTTATTTGTTGTTTGACACCAAATCGTGATTCCATCCTTCATAATCGACATTATATGAAATCTTAATATTAGTTCCTTGTTCTTAATTCCAAGATGTTGTATTCTTCTTATGGCTCCAGAAAGTGCTACAATTTTTTGCTTGATTTTTTCAATTTGGTCACTTCATTCTTATTAGTTTCTGGTTTATAATCATACTCAAATATTAAGTTTCTTCTATTTCTTTTATTTCAGTATCGTTGATTCATATTTTTATATTGCCTATTTTTTTTAATTTTGTTACGTCGAAAAAATATATAATTAGTTTTATCTGTAATTATAGTGAGTTTATTTTCTGTCATCCATGTTGTATATTTATTTGAGTCATCATTGATTTTTTTTCTAGTTTCTTCAAATCTTTATATGTGTATATAATCATGGTGTCATCTGCGTACACTATGTATCTACCTTCTAAATTTTTGTCCTTTATGTTGTTAATATATATTAAGTATATTAGTGGACCTAGGACTGTTCCCTGTGGTACTCCGCATTTGACCAATTTTTTATAGCCGAAGCCATTTCCTATTTTGGTCCTTACTTCTTTTTTAGATAAGAAGTCTTGAATTATGTTGTGCATCGTACCCTCCAGTCGCATATTTCTAAGTTGCTGAAAAAGAATTTGGTGGTCAACAGTGTCGAAGGCTTTTTTAAGTCTATAAATATTGCAATTGTGTGTCTATTGTTTTCTTTCTTGTTCATTTATTAAGTTAGTGGCATATATTAAGGCGGATTGAGAACTTGATTTTGGTAAAAAGCCATATTGGTGTTTGTCTATTGATTCATTTTCTATCAAGAATTGTAATATTCTCTTCTTGATGACTTTTTCATATACTTTTGAGAGGACGTTAGTTACAGTGATAGTTCTACGAGGTCTGTTCAAAAAGTACCCGGAATTTTCGTTTTTTCAAAAAAATATTTATTTATTCGTCTACATTAATGTGGTCCCCTTCAAAGTAATCCCCCCCAGATATAATACACTTATGCCAGCGTTTTTTCCAATTTTCGAAGCACCCTTGATATTCACTTTTTGATATGTCCTTGAGCACTCTCAGCGATTTTCTTCAATCGAGGAAAACCGCCGTCCTTTCATGGGTCTCTTCAACTTTGGGAATAGGAAAAAGTCACACGGAGCCATATCTGGTGAATTTTTGCACTTTGCAACACTTTATTTCATTTTTTACGCAAAATTTAATACAAATTCTTTGACTTTTTCAATTCTTCCATTGTTAAAATCGCCGAGCTCAGAAAAACACGTCGAACCTTAGCGACTACCACAGACAAAGTAAACAGTGAATATAGCTGAAAATTTCATCATACTTTAGGGGCATGTATACCAACACAATAAAAAAAAAATTTTGACAATCAGACACTCCAGACCCGCGAAATTTAATTATTAGTAATTCCGGGTACTTTTTGAACACACCTCGTATAGTTATTTGGGTCCAGTTTATCTCCTGTTTTGAAGATTGGTTTAATCGATGCATTTATTTATAATTTTGGAAAATATTGGAGTTATAATATCTGATATTTCTTTTATTATTTTTGCTGTTATATTATCATCCACAGGTGCCGCGTTGGTTTTTAGTTCTTCTATCATTTTTTTATCTATTCTTCACATGTTGGATACATTGATTCCTTATAGACAAATGTACTATATACTATTATTTCTGTCTTTCCCAGGACCTGGTCAGACGCAAACCCTGTCCAGGCACTCGTCGAGTGGCCTGTACCCGTCGGCGGTGGGTTCGCACACGACGTCGCCGCACTCGGATCGCACGTCGGCCGGTCACCTCCATTCGCACCACCAGCATTCGGGCGGCGGAGTCAATGATGACCCTTGTGATGCACTCTACGAGAGCGCTGACAGCAACACCAATAACACTGCCATCAGGCAGAGGTGCAGGGATGACACGCCGGACAGCGAAAGGTGAGAGGAAATAGGCACCCCTAAATCTAAGTTTTGGGTTTTCAAAAAGCATGTCATAGAAGAAATACTTAATTCATTTTCTGTCTCTCCTCGCAGAAATTTACAAATTTTGTATAAGCTCAGTTGTATTATTTATAATTATA